ACGAATCGCCAAACTGACTGGACTCCGTCAATCGCAAAGGTCCAGTGTATGTATGTATATTTGAGGGATTCGAAGATTCTTTCTGTTGACTGCAATATACTTATATACAACTTTATTGCACCCATCCTTAAACACACTTTAAACAGGCTACAGGGTATGCGAACTATAAAACAATTTGCAATTTGTCTGGGCGCAGTAATCGCCTGGCCAAGATCAGGGGTACGCACATTTCAAAAACCATGTACCGTTTCTTTCAATTTCTATTTCCATTTTATTTTATTTTCTTTTTTTTTTTTCCTTTCTGCCTAATCCGTTTGGAAAATCTGTAAATCCAGTCGCTGGCAACAATAACAAACAGCGGAAATGTTTCAATCAGTTTGCTGAGTGCTTTTGTTCGGGCATCAGGACGAGAGCCGAAAGCCGAGGATTGAGGATTGAGGATGAGATGCTGATGAGGGGCTGTGTAACCGCAATGGGCGAGTCCAGGGTCTGGAGCTCTTTAGCACGGATCGTCTTGTGCCCAATGCCCAAATAACAGCCACAACAGCCACGCCTCATGTCCAACGCCTTTGTTTGGCTTGACATGCGGAACAAAGACAGCATCTAGATAGATAGATAGAGATAGATATTGAGAGAGAGAGAGGGAGCGGGAGCGGGAGAGGGAGAGCTCAGGGTTCCGCTTTGCCTTTTCAATGGTTTTATGAATTACGCATCGACGCCTGCCTCTGCCTCTGCCTCGGCCTCTGCGTCCCTTTGCCTGCTTTGCACCTTTCGCCCGAATCTGACTCCTTGGGCGCAAATCTCATTAGACGCGCCAACCAAGGTAACAATGCCACACGGCAGCGAGAAAGACAGAGAGAGAGAGAGAGGGAGCGAGTTTGGGTTTTCTTTTTCATTTCATTTCGCTCGTATTTCACTTTGGATTTCTCCTGCTCAATGACAATTAACACAAGTGTCAAATTATTTGTAACCATAAGCAGGCGCACGCACACGCCTTTCTGCTTAATGAGCAGCACTTGCCACGCCCACTGGCCAGTGTCTGGCCCATCTCTAATCTCTAGTCGCGCCTTTTAGACGAAAAAAGGGTTTGCTGCTCCCTGGCATGTGTGAAGTGTTTGCCTTGCGCATTTGCTGCTGCAAATATTGTGACAATGCTGAAAGTTCTTCTTCAATTTGTCACGCCAAATTATCATAATAATACCCACTGTAACCCGCCATCCGCCACCGCACTCCTTGCCCCTGCCCCTGCCCCTGCCCCAATCCCCCCTCTTACAGCAGGCCTTCAGCCTTTTGTTGCCTTATTGATTCTACGCCCTGTTGACCGCCACAGTTCCACAGATGCCCGCCCGGGCTGGAAGCTGTCTGGTTTTTGTGTTTGCCCAGGGAATTTGCATTGCCATCGCCCCACCCGCCTGCCCCTCATCCTCCCCCCCCCGCCCTCCGCCGTGGTACATTCAACCCCACGGCATGCAACTCTTTACGTTTAGGTTTTTGTTGGTAAAAATTTATTCAAAACGCGTTTGTCTATTTACAGTACATTTACGCACTTAATGATGGGGTTCATTTGTTCGCCCCCCCCCCCTCTCCCTCCCCCTCTACGCATCGCGTCCGCGCAACGACCTAAAACTGAGCAAAAGATTTCCAGATGTGAGCATCAAATGGTTAATGGAGAGGGTATATCAGGGAATAGCAATGGGAGTCGGCAGCTTGGAGTGGGAAACGTTATGTTAACGGAAGGCGCGAATTTTGTCTGCGAGTCTCTGTTGCTTTTAGTCAATATGCGCGAAGCCAATAAGCTGGTACAGTGGAGCGAATCGCATTAATTGGTTATAAATATATTCAACAGTTGACAATAATTTGTTAATGCAGTGAAAAGGAGCTATACTAAAGTGGGTATCATTTTCATACCTGATTTATGATAAATTTAAAAGAACTAGAAAGAAATTTAATTTTTTAAATTTTTTATGTAAGCAACGTGAAAAACCTACTAAATGCATACAAAATACTCTTTCTAAGCTTATATTAGTTTACTTTGTAAAATAGAACCAATTTTAATTATCATAGAAATCATGTATTGCCCTTTTTATTTATTTAACATAAGTTGTCTGTGGCTTAGATTGATGTGGAATAACAAAAATAAAAATAATAAAAAGGGAAATATTATGTGGCGATCTGGTACAACAGATATGTTCACTTTAAAGCTTTTTGTTTTTGATAAATTTTGTTACACTAATTTCGAATTTTACACTATCAAGAAAAGTATGCCCAACATATTTTAGGCTGAGCACTCTACCCATCAGCAAATTATTAAAACTACTTTTGCTAATTTAAAATAATATATTATTCCAATGGTTGTGGAATAGTACCGCACACCTTCCCTCTATTAGACCAAAATTTATAATATTCATTTATGTTCCATGCATATAACTTTCATTCAACTAATTATTTCAACTTTCTTTCGACTAAATTATAGACAACTTGAACAAGCAAAGAATACAATATCTAATTTAAAATATCTAAATATTTTGTGTGTACTAATAGCTATGCAACCCACTGTTATGACAAGCGGGGGAGTTGTAGAGGCAACAATTGAAGCTGAAGTTGGAGGTACGGTAAATAAATTGAGAGAAAGCATTTGATGGCAAGGAGGGTGCATAAATTCAATTTTAAATATGTAAACCTTGTGTCGCGGCCGATGTCGGCTTTAGCATTTTGTGGTTTAACTAATTGAGTCGCCTTGTAAATATGTAAATCGAAATATCCACCCAAAAGGCAGGACACAGCCTCCGTGCTTGGGCTTGGGGTGTAGCGCATTAATTTGATATGAAAACAGTGGCAAGCAGCAGCCAAATAGACGTTGCAACACTTGAATGTTTGTTGTTTTAGCTGCTGCGAGTAAATAGCCTTCGAATGCGCTTGCAACACACGAGTGTACAATTAATTACGCAGCGCCAGATGCCTTTTTAAGCCAGAAACCAAAAAAAATACAACGAATAGCTAATTAAAATGCATGACGAAAAATCGAAAAAAACAAAGCACACATTTATCGATTATCGACGGATGCCATTTTGAGTCGAAAACAAAAGCTAAGCAAGGCTAATTAAAATGCATGACGAAATATCGATAAATCGAAAATGCCATCGCTGCCATTTTGAGTCAAAAACAAAAGCTGTGCAAGGCGAATTTAAATGCATGACGAAATATCGATAATGCCATTGCTCACATTTATCGACTATCGATTGCTGCCGTTGGCGACGACAACAACAAAAACGTTGCTAGTGTGTATTTTGCGGGGGTGGGGGGCAAATGAGGTCGAAAGTGTCACATCATGCTTAATGATGACGATGACGTTGCGAAGGAGACGGGGCGACGGGTCGACGGCGCCGAAAACTAAAACTAGAGAAACGAAATTAACTGACAATGTGGCGTATACACAATATGCCGGGGCCCAGCGCCAGCTACTGATAATTGCAGCGCTTTCAAGTGTCTGGTCTGAATGACTGACTGACTGGCTGGCTGGCTGACTGACAACTTCCACATGGCTCGCTCACCTTGTAATTTGAGCCCAAAATTTGTTGCAAGAAGGAAGCACTTATCCAACTAGTCAGTCAGTCATCTAGGCGGTCTCTCCCCCCACCCCCCACCCAAGCTGGAGCCGAGGCTGTTGCGCTACAGATTATATCGCATATGCATATAGGTAGATTCTATGTATATATACATATATATATATATGGCTCTTCCAAATATGTTTCCCAGGGCACTCTTCCAGCCCATAATGACGATGATGCGTTGCATTTGTGTGTGAGTGACAGTGACGCGTCAGTTTTTTGGTGGCCTGCCTGCCCGCCGTCTGGCCGTAGACTCATTTATGGATCTTATGGACTGTTGGCCTGATCTCCCTGGCTGCCTGGCTGCGATCTGCTGTGTGTGTTTGCCCACCACACGGATATTTTCATAAGGCAGCTAAGTAAACCACTCAAGTAGGACATGTCATCGTTGGCGCCAGCGTTCAACCAAATGCCGACGACGAAAGGCACCTCTTACCATTTACAATATGCCCAGGCTTCATTTTGCTGATATATCTACAATATATACATATATACATTTTATTTCGCCTTTGATGTTGTTATTTGTCTTGGCCTGTTGTTGCAGATGACTTCTGGATCTGCATTTATGGCTCGCTGGCAGTCAACGTTTGTTGTTGTTTACACAGAAATTGATATTTTATTTCAAAATACAAACATATAACTTGAAGGAAATGCCAACTGCCGGAATAGCAGATACCCTAAAAGAGAGAGCGAGAGAGAGACAGAGAGAGAGAGAGAGACATCATCGATTACAGAGAGAAGAATGAGAAGTTTAAGCCTGGAACAATTGTTGAGATGAACGTATTTTGAAAAGAATAAAATCTGCAGTCTTTTAGGATATGATGATAAAAAGCTTCGTTTTTAGGTTCCAATTGTGCTGAGCCTCATTCAATTTAAGACAACTCCTTTTTAATAATACATATTCAAATTTCTACTTTCAAGCCTTTGCATTTGAGGCAAACTTCGCGAGTAAGATTCCTTTGCGATTTTGAGAATTACATTTATCTTTATTTTACGTAAAAACAAATTCAAATCTTCTGTTCGCCTTTAAGCTTTACTCTATATTTAAAGGATAATACTGTATCCTTAAACAGAGAATCTTCTTCTCCAGTTGCAATCAGAAAACTTATTTAAATTTTCCATATTTTCCATAACAAATAACATCAACATATGCTCATATTTTGAGTAATAGTTTTGCTGAGAACTCTTAAAGACCCTTCTTTTTCGCTACACCTGAAAAATCCAACCCCCAATTTAATAAAAAAACGCTTTTCATATTTTCGGTAATGATTTAAATTCTTAACTGTTTCATTTCGTTTGTTTTTTGTTTTGTTTTTGTTGTTGTTGTTGTTTTTATTGCATTCTAAATGTATACGTAAGCACTATGATTTGCATACTTAAACTCTATTTACAAGTACGTACACACACAGAAATTAGAATGAAAAACTTGTTGAAATTTTCAGTTGTTTTTTTGTTTTGTTTTAGCTGTTTTTTTTTTGTCAGTTTCCCAATTTGATTTTTATCGTATGCGTAAATCTTAAATAACTATCTTTGAAAAGTGTGCGACGATGTTTAATATATATATAGTATGTATATATATATATATATTTATATCAATATATATATTTCGATATCTCCTTAGCTGCATATATGTGTTAGGAAACAGCCCTTGACAGGATGCAGGATCTGACATGAAGTTGGCTGCGATTGTTGTTGCTTTTGCTGTTATTGCTTTCGGGCGCTCGAGCTGCCCGAAGGTTTAAGGGCTTAAACGACGCATTTGACTTAAACTAAAAATTGAAACAATTCGAATAGCTGGGCCTTAGTGCAAGTGGGCGCGGTCGGAGCGGGAGCGGGAGCAGGAGCAGGAGCAGGAGCAGGAGCAGGAGCAGGAGCTGGGGCAGGGACTGTGCGGGGAAACCCTCGGGGCAAGGCCAACGCCTCAAACCCTCTGATATCATGTAATCTCGGGCGCGCTATGCTTCAGCTCGGGCGACGTGGAGAACGGCCTGTGCAGCAGCAGCTGGGCGCTGTGATGATAGCCCGTCATTGTCGTCGTGGTCGTGCTCGTGCTCGTGTTGGTATTGCTGCTGCTGATCTCGTGTGCCGCTCCAGCACAGGCGGCCACGGCCGCCGCTGCGGCTGCCACCGCCGTCGAGTTGAGTTTCTCGGGCGAGTTGATGCGCAGCTTGGGCGGCGGCGGCGGAGGTGCCACCACGCCGCATTCGACACTGTAGGCGGCCGCATAGGCCGGATGATGCAGATGCGGCGCACCGGCTGCGCTGCCGTTAAGCGCCAGCGGCTGCGGCAGCTGCGGATGCGGCCTGATGACAATCGGCTGTATGGGGAACTGCTGGGACATCTCCTTCAGGTTGCTAAAGCTTTGCAGGTAGCATCCGGCATTGAACAGACTGCTGGCCGCATCCAGCTTGAACGGCGGCAAACAGCCCGCCGGCAGCCCGCCAGCTCCAGCTCCAGCTCCATAGGCCGACGGCAGCTGCGGCGGGGTGGGCGAGGGCAACGCGCTGCTCAAGTCCCGCGGCTTATCGTCGTCCACGCTGAGGCTCTCCTCGTTGGCGCCGTTCGACATGCTGCCCGGACTGTGCTGCAGCTGCAGGCTGCTCGGCACCGGCGAGTGCGTGCCCAGCGATATATCCGAATCCGAGCTGTCCGAGGGCGTGGGCGAGGCGGCGCCATCCGCCCGACGGCTGCGGCAGCCCATGCCCGAGTTGTTCTGGTTGTGCTGAATGCTGTAAAAAACGAAGTGGAAAGGGGATATTCAGTAATATATATTATCATTTGTATAATTCTTAAATATAGGCTTTAATTTAATCAGTTCTTGTTATAGCAAGATCGCAATCTATGTTTGAGCAATTGCAAAGAAATTGAAAGGCGATTTTCTGAAATAGATTTTTTGCATAGTGAATTTAGACTATGCTAATAATTTGTATACTTCCTAAATAAAGGTTTAAATCTAACTAGTTCTAAGAACTAAAGAAGCTCAGATGCAAATAGAAAGATCTCATTCTATGTTTGAGCAATTATTCCTATATTGTAGTTCTTTCTTGATAACTTTCGAAGATTGCCAAGTTGTTGGCAGTTTTATCAAACTATCTATAAAACTGAGATATTACTTGGCATAGAAACAGATGGACGTTCACATCCGTTCATTTACTTCCTCGAATCTATTTCCATTAGGGGAAGTATATAGATTTGTAAAACAATAAATGTAAATAGTATGTAAAACTCGACTGTTAAAATCTTTAGTTATGAATTTGCCTTTCCCTATTATACCCCCAATCCATTGAAAATGTGTAACAATGTTTGTGGAAGCATCCCCGATTCCACAAAGTATATATATTCTTTATTAGATCAACGAACTGAGTTGATCTAGCCCTTTCCGTCTGTCCATCTGTCTGTTTATTTGAAGGCATCAATTTCGGAAACTTAAAGGTTTGAAAGGTCTCGTATATCATATGCAAAAATAGTTTATCATTTTTTTGACTTGTCCCATTTTTATAATATCGATAAAAATCGATTTTGAGAAATGATTCTTTGAGCGTAACTCGAAAATAATAAGAGCTAAATGGTGTATTAGAAATATTTGTTTATTTGGATGCCTCTCTCCATTCCCTTCATAGTTGGAGATAACTCATTTTTAGAGCTAAGGGATTGTGAATACCTTTAAACACTTTTGTACTTTTGTAGTCCACGTTTAAGCACTGAAACTTGCTTAAAAATCCGACTGTAAACGAAGCAGTTAATCAAGAATGCATTTCCTTTACAAAAGTGTATAGATTTATGCATTTAAGAATCTAAAAATGTTTTTATAATATATTATGCTCCACTAAATGCCACTCAGCGCCTCAATTTTTACGCTTCAACTTGAACGTTAACTAGATAATATTAATGATTGATCCATTAGATTTATATAATCTATCTAGAGATACAAATATGCCAAATCAAAGCGTTAAATCGCTTATTTATCCACGGAGAACATCAATTAGGGAACCATGACAAATTCAGGTGCTCCACAAAATGAAAAGCTTCCTTAAATTGTGAATTGTGAGAGTTTTTTGTTTTCTGAATTCCCAGTTATTAAATGAAAAGCGCCCTTTAAGTTGGCTGTGTTAATTAGTGAATGTGGACAGCGTGTTGCAAGTGTTGCACGTTGCGTTGTGTTGTGTTGCACCGCGGGCTCTCCGGCCACGCCCATTATGCGGCTCATTTGTCGTTGGGCTCGGCTCGGCAGGCGGCAGAGGCAACTTTCACACATGCTTAAGACAAATTATCTGTGGCCAAAACAAAGGAGTGCCCCCATGGACACACACATAAAAAAAAAAGAGATGACTTGATTAGAAGGCCAAACCGTGCAACAGTCGAAGTGGCAGTCCAAGTGGCAACGGTGGCAATGTCGGCATATTTATAGAGTCATCAGAGTGCGGTGTGTTCTGTGCTCGGAGCTGGGTGCCCGGCCTCGTATACATCATCATCTGCATCACGCCGCATGACGCCTGCACTGTCATAATTATCGGTTAGGATTCGCTCAACTTGCCGCAATTTGTTGACCCATCAGCATTAATAATGCCTCCCGACTCCACAGCCTCTGTCCTTTTGCAGCGGCTCGTGTTGTGTGATTAATGATGCCTTCGCACTGGAGGCAACCCGTCGCAGTCACAACTCGGCTGGAGCCGCGAAATGTATCTGCGGCTACCTTTTGCCTCGCTTTTTTTTTTTTTCCTTTACTGATTGTTGCCGCTGGAAAATGGAATCGTTTAGTTGCCTAATGCGCCAACTTGATGGATTACCATTTACCACTTGACACTCTGGCCATTCCACTGATGAATTACACATGGCACAGATCAAACGACCGTGTCCAGCACAGAGCTACCCGCTGCTGAGATTTCGATTATAGCCTATATGATGTTTATGGGAAAGCCGAGTGTTTGCGGTGGGTCAAAACAGCTGAAAATGGCCGCCAACCGTTGTGAAATTGTAGCTTTTAGCGGTAGCGATTACGCCTCAATGAAGCTCAGAGCCAGACCAAGCCAGAACCTTCCTGCTCCTGCGTTAATCCGCGCCAGAGCTCTGGCACGGGCGCTGCTGCTGCTCCAAGGCCGAGTTTTCGCTTCATTGGGGCGACCAGCACGCTTCGCTTGAGCCAAAAAACAAAAAAAAAGGCTCATATATATATTTTCCAAACAATTGACTCGGGAGATCCAAAGAGAGCCAAAGGGTTTGCCTGTCTGGGAATCTGATACTGTGGCACCTAACCGAAACCGAAATGACACGTATGTAATTACCCGCGTGGACACAAACCGAGTGACATTCACAGAGAGAGAGAGACAGGAGAGCGAGAGAGGGAGAGGGGGAGAGAGGGTGATGGAGATAAGCCTCCACTGGTTACCCTGGCTGGTAACCTGAGCCCAGGCCCGAGACATTGAAATGCCTTAATCGGCTCATGTCAGAAGATTCGTGTATGCGTATTTGGTCGCTCCGGGATTGGGATTGGGAAAACTTATTCAGCTGCAAGAATGCCGGGTAATATGATCTGATCATAGGCCGAAACTCAGCCAAAACAAAAAAAAAAACAGAGAGAAAAGAAGAGGTGTATATAACTCTTTCTCAAATTAAATATGGCTTTGAATTGTGAGTGTAAATGAATATCGATCGGGATTAAAATTGATTTTCCGACACCGATTTATAGGGTATCTGATAGTTTAAGCGGCAGTTTGCTGTTATCGAAATAAAGAATATTGATACACATTGAATGTTCTTATATATTTTGTTCGCTTTATATCGGTTTAATTAAAGTATAAAACCGATAAATCGATTATTTTGTTGACGAGAGCAATCGAATCTTAATAAAGCAGAAAAAATATGAGCAAATGCGATTTATTACATTTAAATATAAACTCTCTTAAGTACATATGCTCTTTATAGGGCATAATGTATTTGTGCAAATTTATGTAACAGGCAGAAGGAAGCATCTCCGACCAGCGATAATATCCAAGTCGGTCTAGCCATGTCCATCTGTCCGTCCGTCGGTATGGAAATTAGAAAGTTGTGTATTCTAACTAGGCTTTTAGCATTTAATTTTCATAATGTGATGTGTTGAATAATAAGGGAGACACTCGTTTTTGTCGACTTTTAATAAATAATTAAGAGCTAGAGACTTGAAAACTGTTTTACGTAGGTCCACTTGGTGCCCCTGCAGTACGAGTTTGTTTCCGATAATCGATAACTTGCCCCGTTTCCAAGCAATCGATAAAAATCTATCTATTGAAATCTTGTTTTTGAGCAATTCTCTTATGTTTTAAGAGGTAGAGTCGCCAAACTTGACATATAGCTTCTTGAATAGTATATATACCATTTATCAAGTATCTTTCTTTTTATAGATAACGCATAGAAGAGGGGTCAGGGTATCCCCTAGTCGGGAGCTCCCGAATAGAGACTCTAGTTCTTTCTTGTTTATTTTGAATAACATCATCGATGCAGCATTAACTCCGTAACACGTAATATCTCTTAAGATTTAAAATATTTATTTAAATGCAAGGTGTCATATTTAAATAGTTCTTTAACGTTTCAGTTACAATCGTGCGGAAGCTCTTTGGAGGCAAATGCAAATTGAAGCGAAATGAATTCAGATTGAACGCATTTCGATAATTGTGTCATACAAATTGAAAGTTATAAATTGTGTAAATATTTAGACAGCAGTCGCAGTAGAAGTCGTCGCAGTAGCTGAGAAGTGCCCGAAAATCCGTCCCAGGGGTTCGAGCGCTTAGGTGGACCGAATAATGGATGGAGATGGAGTGCCGGGCCGGGTAACAGGGGTGAGGGGTGAGGGGTTTGGGGGGTTGGATAGGGTGGGTTTCTTTTTTTGTGCCCGGCGCTAAACGCAATCAACGTTTATTTTGTCCTTTTCTCTTTTTTACTTCGATCTGTTGACAAACAGGATTTAAATTTGTACAATTTGAATATTTTGTTATCTTTTGCTCAGTTCCAGTTTCGGCTATTTGCACAGTTACTTTGCCAGCTTCTCGTTATACATTTCACTTGTCAACACACACACACACACACTCGCACACATCACATGAACATCCGGTGTTCGACTCTCGAATGACTCTTAAACTTTGTGCTCATTCTTTTATATATATCTGATTGATTTCTTTAATACACTTTCTACGCGCTGCTGAAGTGGGCGAGGCTCGACAGGTCGGTCCGCCTGGCCTCTTCCTGCTCCTCCTCCTCCTCCTCCTCCTCCCATTTGGCAGCTATAAATGCATTGTATCTTGTATCTTGTATCTCGTGTATATTTTTCTCACAAGCCACCGAAACGGTAGTTGCGCTGTGCAAACATCGTCGAGTATCTCACTCTGTGCCCTGCTCTGGCTTTGGCTCTGGCTCTGGGCCTGGGCATGGGTATGGGTACTTATGGCGCTCGAGTGTGCCTGTCCGAACGCGCAGCCAAGTGGGCACTCGGATTTGGATATTGACAATGGCTGCAGCTTCTGACTGACGGACGGACTGGCTGACGGACTGGCCGGCCGACTGGCTGGCTATCCGGCTGGAGATTCCACATATTTTCGTTAGAATTCGAGCTGTTCGGAAATCGATGAACAGCCTCTTGAGCTTTTGGGGCCCAGTTCACAGGGTCAATCTGTGCTCTGCTCCCAGCAGCAGCGTCCTTCAATTTCTTTATGTTCCAGCCGCAGGTTCAGTTAATTTCTATTGCCACAAAATGTGCGTGTGTGTGTGTTTAATATTTTGATTGATCATTGACATTTACAACATATTTGTTGTGCGTGTTGTTTATTTGTTGCTGTTGTTATTCCCATTCATTTTTATTACACACTCTGGAAATCTTATTCCCATTTCAATTGCCGTTGATTTCATTTCTGGTCGCCTCTTGACAAATTGCTCTTGTCCCCCCCGCTGGCCCGCCCCCTCGTTGCCCACATTGTGTTCACTGACACCCGCCCACTCTGGGCTCCTACTTAATTTGGCCATGTGTGTGTGCGTGTGTGTGTGTGTGTCCGTGTGTGGGTTGGGGCTTTAGTGGCTATCACGAGCTCGCATTTCGTTTATGTAATTCACGCAATAAAATCATCTGTGTGGATTTTTTTAAATTACCCGCCCCGCCTTGTCCCGCTCCTCCCCACGCTGCTTCGTCTGGATCGTCCATCAAGTGGTGCTTTATAATTGAACGAACCCAAGTCTATGACTTGCTAATTGAATTAGCCAGAAGATGAACAAACCAAAACTTAACAGTTGTTCCCATCAATTATCTAATCTCAACATTTCTTTCAGTTACGCGAAGATTTAATTAAAGTTCGACCAAGCTGGATTTTTCTAGATATTGTTTCAAATTAAATATATGCTGGTGTACATTTTTTAAAATTACTTTCAGTAAGTAGATAAGTCTTAAAATTCCTTTTTTCATTAAATAAGTACAAAACGTTTCGGTTGAAGTTCGTTAAGTACCCTATTTTATGAGTCCAAACTTTGCAAAAGGCTTTCATAGTTTCAATAGATAAACATGGATGTATAAATTATTATAAATCAAAACAGTCTGAAGCCGACATTTCAATCTACTTTCTACTTAAGAGAGAGAGAGAGTAAAATATATAAATTGAGAAAAAGATAGCTTTGAAAACTGACAAATTAATGAAAATGTAAATAAAAATTCTTTCTAATCCCATCAGACGCCAAAGATTAAACATTATATTGTATATTGGTGCTGGTGGGAACTGGCTAGACCTTGAATATGCTCAGTAATTGTTGAGATATCTTGAAAGATGTATATAAGAAATTAATTTTCGATCGATTATAGATTATTTCGATTTGGTCAGTTCTGAAATATGTCAGGCAGTTCATATACTGATAAACAGACGAACACGACAAAGAAGTTAGCTTTAAAAACTGAGAGACTAGATAATATCTGCTGGACTTGATATTGATATAGGATATATACATTTCATGGACCTGTTGGAAAACAAAATGTTTTTAAGACTAAATGTTTTTAGTGACTGTTAAGTAAATTTCGAGCTAGCCAACTCCAAATCGAGTCATGAGAAAATAATTATATAATATAATAATACCCTCTACAAGGCTAGAAAATACTCAATGACATTACTATTAGTCCAAAAAATCGTGAGATTTAGTGAAACAAAGTGACTTTGAAGGAAAATAGTGAACAATTAAGTCTAGCTATCTGAGATGGCATTGCATTGAATGTGAATAGGAAAATATATGAATGAGGCAAGAGATTGCCAGCGATTATATTATCCATTACTTGGCCTAACGCTAAGACCTCCCCTCCCCCCTCCCCCCACTCCAATTTGTAATGCCTTACTTTTGTATTTTAGCCCACAGAGCATGACCAAATTGTTGCTCCACTGTGGCTAACATTTTCATAGTTAATATCTTAATAACTCAATTTCGGGAGCTGTGCGCCTTTCTAATGCGCGTCTGCTGTCTAGTTGCCCCTTATGATTGATTTACCAACTCGGAGAGCAGCAAAAAAAGAGGATGAAGAAGAAGACGAAGAAAACTCCATAAATAAAGTGTATATCGTCCGGCTACTACGCTGAAAGAGTCTGCGCTCAAGTGCAGTAGCAAAAATGTTAACAATTTTTCAGCACTCGATGCTTGAAAAGTCAGCGCCTGTTACTTGCTCCATCTCGCTCGCTCTCACTCGCACCTTCTCTGTCTGTCTCGCTCGCTCTCTCTCTCTTGTCTGGGCTCTGGTTAGAATGTCTCAGTTGAGTCGCTCGCAAAAGCTGTTGCTCATCATTATTTTTGCCGGTGCTGTCGATGTGGCTGCTGATGACTGACTGACTGATTGACTGACTGACTGACTGTCTGTCTGACGTATGCACGGCTTTTAATTTCATATTTCTCATATCATTTTTTATTGTTATTTATTTCTTGTTTTTGTTGCTGTTGTCTCTGCCGGCTTTCTTGTCTTCTTTGGCTGCCTAATAGCACGATGACTACACGAGAGCCCAAAAACTCGAAATCCAACAACTCGAGCTCAAACTAGGAGTCGCTGGTGAAGGTTGTCTTGGAGTTGGAGCTGGAGTCGGAGCTGGAGCTGGCAGATGGAGTTGTAATGGTCGTTGTTGGCGTGTGTATCCGTTGCCGCTGCTAACTTTACAAGGCGAAATAATCGCCATCATTTTAACTAATGACCCGCTCCGAAAGGCGCTTGCCTGACTGACTGACTGACTGGCTCGCTGACTGACTGCTTCTTCTTCTTCTTCTTCTTGGCGCTTTGTGCAGATTCATTCAGTTCGAGCTGGCGAGCTCCTAACTTAATAAACACGGCTGCGGCTTCAACCTGCAAGTTTTCTAAAGAATGCCAAAATGTTGTCGGCAGCAGCCATATGCTTGTCTGTCAGCAGGGGGTGGAGGGGATAATGGGGGGGGGGGGGGGGGGCAGGGGAGGGGGATTGCTGTACAGCAGGTAGAAGCAAGTTGAAATATTTGCGCATCTGCAGGAGCAGCGCGCACTTGAAGATCGTTTGGGGGCTTACGGCTTTCTGCCGTGTCATTCCACTTAACTTGCCATCTTTCACTTGGCCGTGGACGACGACGACGATCTCCACAGAGATCGCGCGGAGATCTTCTTCATTTCAACTTCGCGCGAATTGGTCGAGTTTCTTTTTTTCCTTCTATACAGCTCGTGTTTTTTAGTTTAAGTTGTTGTTCCTGTTGTTGCCCCTTTCAAGCGAAGCAAGAGCTGCGCTTACATTGTTTTTGTAACTCCACAGCTGCTGCTCCGGCTGCGGCTGCTGCCGTTGTCATCGTCGGCGGTCATTTTAATGTGGCCAAAAGCGACGACCGCAACAAACGGCAGAAATTGAGAACGCTTCGATGGATGTCGCCGCCGCCGACTACAACGACTGCGACGACGACGTCGACATCGGCACGGATCAATGAAATGGAAACGCCACAGCGCAGGGCACCCGCTGCTGCTGCCGCTGCTGCTCCTGTATGAGATTCCCGCTTCCATTTCCACTTGGATGCGGCTAGATATCAGTTTACGCTGCTTTGCCTGACGGCGCTTTCATATGGCCAGCAGCAGCAGCAGCAGCAGCGGCTCGGATTACACTGGAAGCTGTGCTTAGGGGGTTCGCCTATGCCTAATGGACCCCAAATGATGATGCAGTGAAGCATTTGCAACAACTTACCGATTCTTGGCAGCAGCGGCACGATCTCGTTGACGGCGATTCTTAAACCAATTGCCCACTTGCGTGGGATTCAGGCCGGTGGCCTTGGCCAGTTCGCGTTTCTTGGTTGGATTCGGATAGGGATCCTGTAGGTACCATTCGCGCAGCAGGCTTCTCGTGCGCTCCTTGAAACAGTGCGTCTTCTGCTCGCCATCCCAAATGGTCGGCGGCAGCGGAAACTTTTTGCGTACACGATACTTGTCAACGGGACCTGCAGCGAGATAGGAGATATATAGATATATATAGATATAGATATATAATGTGGCAGATATATAATTTGAACTCACCCAGCGAGCGGCCGCGCAGCTTTTCGGCCTCAATGTAGTGCGCCTCGAGCCACATGGCCTGCAGCTTGCCATAGGATGCTTTTGTAAATTTATGATTCTCTATTATTGCATATAGTTCCCTGTCGAAAAAGAGTACAAGAAATCAGAAATTATCTATATACATATATATATATATGTTATATATGTTAACAGTCAAGCGTTAGCAACCCTTAAAGGGCAACCCTGAAAAGCTATTGGAACCTTCTATTCCGGCCGTTAAATATCCTGCTGTGCTTTGGTTAATGGACTTGTCGCCTGTTGTAGCCCAAGCTCAGCATATTTTATATGTGATTGGAAACAATTTCATAAGCATTCATTGACTGACATCGACTGTCGTTGACAGCTGAGTTAAATTCAACAAATTGTTTTAATTGGAAGTCATTTATTTATCCAGCTCGAAGCAATCAAATCACTTGCTCGCTTTGGATTATATCTAGATTATATATAAATCAATCGATTGTGTGTTGAATATAGAAACGGTTATTGATCGAATTATATTTATGTGTCCATATGCTAAAGAGTGCTAAGTCTAAATGCTAAGGAATTATATCATATGTATGACTATACGGCATATATATAAAAAGAGATTTAAGGTGAGCTGAGAATATGTGAACCTTATACCTTATAGGAACTATATTTCATATAAACGCAGGAATTTAGACTGAGGTGCAAATATTTGAACTAAGAATAAATAGGTATTCCGTGGAATATCATAGATTATACGATAGGAACTAGGAATGTTATATACATATTGCATTTGATATATATAATTTATATTTAAATAAATTTGTATACATATTAACAAGAACAAACTCAGCTTCTTGTCAAATTCAAATTAAATCTCGCAATTGAAACGGAAAAGTTTAATCAAAATTGCCAAACTTAATTTAAGCAACGACAAACTTTAACTTGTTAAAAGGCGAACTTCTTTTAAGCATATATTAAAACTAGCTAAGTCGGCTGAAATTTACTTTTAAAACTTCCTAAGCAGACTTTAGTTGATTTAAGTAAAGCTTTTAAAAAAGATTTCGTGTGTTAAAAAAAAGCACTTAGCACGCGCATTTCCCAACACTTTGAATATTCTTGGCGACTCTAAAAGCGCAGCTTAAGCTGCAGTTAACATTTAGACATGCATGTTAAAGCGCTTGAAGCACATTACTCAACGGTTCTCTGTCAGTTTGTCAGCTGTCATAACCAATATATCAAACTTGACTGGGGCTCTAATGAAACGTTTAACCGTAGTATGTTGTATTTGTTTAATGATATCTCAAAGATGGTGAGTTGAGCGGAGACGTGTTTGTCCACTTGTTAATAACCTGATCTAGCGACAAGTCTAGTATATTGCATTATAGACTTGTGTATCTATGACTAGCTAAAGTAGTTTGTCAATCAAAGCCGTTAATTGCAGACGCATATGAATACAGATGTGCATTTAAATGGCAATTTACATAGGTAGTTCGTGTGGGAAACTCTAGGATCGCAGCAGTTCTCGCTTCTCGAGCTAATCTCAAGTTGGTTTAACCGAAAGATAGGCTTTCAAATGGCTTCAATGAACTGTTTCCGGCAAATTAAAATGCCCATTTTTTTTTGTTGTTTTCCCTTTTTTTTTTTGGTGTTTGTAATTTGAGAACTTATGCAAAACATTTCGTGGAGAGGAAGCTCGAAGCACACTCCTATGTGGATCGGATCGTCAGGATTTCGGTCTGGCATTGTTCGGTCGGTGTTTTATTAATCAAAATCTGCTGCGATGTCTGTTGTTTGGGTTCGACAAATGAGTTCTTTAATTAGTAAATTAATGCCATTGTTTATTAATTTACGCAGCTCATTGTGTGCTCTCATTACGTGTCCAAACACACACAGACAAAGCTCAAAACTATCGAATAACCAAATGTGCTCTAACCCAACCCCTGTCTCGCTGCCTCCCTGCCCCTCAGATAACTCGAGTCGAGGTTAATCAGAGCGAGGTTATTTGAGCCGTGTGCTTTTGTCCCCCTTTTTGGTTTGGCTAAATGGCAATTTGTGTGTGTGGAGCAGCAGCATCTCTCGCCTACCTGAAGTTACCGACATGATAGGCGACAACTGCCCGGGCCCGGAGCACCGCCTCGCAGTTGAGTATCTCGTGCATGTTGGGCAATGCCACTGGCAAACTCCATAGGAAACGTGCCAGACGCTCGATATCGCCCGAATCTTCCAGAGTCTTGCATACGATCTCCACCTGGGCGGCGGAGAAGGCGAGCGTCGGCACCGCCAATATCGGACTGGGTGCTATAATCTGATGGTGTGTGGGCGAGAATGTCTCTGAGGGCGGCTGTTTGCCCTCCGTCGGTCCAACGGCCATTTTATGCGTTGAATCCACTGTGAACTAATTCGCATACTATTCCCAACCAAAGCGAATCAATTTTGCAGCGAGTACTCAATTTAAACACACACACACAATTTGTATTTATATATATCTATAACGATCACAGTCACTAGATCGGGCGTATAAACTCTCTCTCTCTATATATTTTATATAGATTTATTTCTGCTTAGCACGTTTTTTTTTTGAGTGATTAGCTGGGCATATTGGAGGATCGTTCACGCGCGACGCTTTGGGGAATCCTTGATGCCCGCGATACCCGACCGACAACAACGAATGTGCAACTGGCTGCGGCTGCGGCGGCTGCTGATCCAAATCCGGATTGCGTTCGCACTGAGTCCAAGCTGGGGCGTGCTATGGATATAACCAGGGCGAGCGACCAACCAAACGTACAACCGAGCGCACAAAAAATACGTCAAATAATGGTCTTGTAACTGAGCTGCCTACTATGCGATGGACGACGACGGCGACGACGGCGATGACGGCGATGACGGCGACGGCGACGGCGACGGTTACGATGGCAACGGCAACGCACAACAATGACGCGCCACAGATACAGATACTCTGGCAGCAACAGAGCCAGCAGCAGCTACCAGCTACCAGCTACTGCTGCCAGCTGCCAGATACAGATACAGCTACAAATACAGCTACAGAAACGAGTTGCCACTCACACACACACACACACACACGCACACTGTAACAGATACGGATACTGAAACACCACCATACCAGGGCAGAGGCTGTTGGGTAGGCGTTCCTGGGGCACTAAAGTCGCACTGCGCTGAGTGGCCTGCCCGATTCTGCCAGTCAGTGCGTAGCTAGTCATCTCGCTCTGGCATGCAGACAGGCAGGCGAGCGGGCATAGGGCTGGCTGTCTGACTGTCTCGCTCGCACGGCGGCATTGCGGCTGCGGTGGTAGTCAGCCCCGGTTGCGTTTAAATGAAATGTATATAAGCCCTACAACACATGCATACACACACACACACACTCACACACATACAGACATGCATGTGTACATACAGTTGCAATTGCAAGGGAGCTTGCTCAGGGGGTGGGGTAAGGGTGATGAGTGAGGCAGCAGTTCGTTGATATTTTGATAAAGAAATCAAATAAAGCGGCAACGGGAACAGCAGCAGCAGCAGCAGAAGCAACACCCAGCTGCACAGTGGTTCGAACTCGCGGCCCATTATTGCTAATAAAATATGTTCCTATTGAAGAAGTGTAACACATCTATTTGCTTAAGCGTCAAACTATTTGCTTTCGAGATAAGCTAAACAAAATATTGTGCTTAACGGAAAGTGTAATTGGTTTATAATGCTTACATAAATAATTAATGTAGATTTACAGTATTTTTTTTTTTGGGACGCTATTAGCGAGTGCTTTCAAATAATTACGAGAACATTGTAACAAATATCTCAAATGAAGGTTCATTTTCTAATAATATTTTTGAGGTTAGAAGTCAACTCCTTTTGAGGGTTCTAGAAAACGAAAGCTCTTGTTAACTTAAATTTCCTCCAAAATTCAATTAGTTATTTATAACAAGTAAGAATTTTCAAAATTCTATATAATAAATAATAATAAATAATAAATTCTTAAAGTAATAAAATGTTAAATCTTTAGTTATTTATTATAAGAAGTAAGAACTCTCAAAATTCTATAATAACATTAAATAATAATAATAAATAATATGTAATAAATTCTCAAAGTTATTAAATGTTAAATCCTAAGTTTTAATTACTTTTCGCAATCGTTAGGCCCACTGTAACGGCAACATATTGTATAAGTGTAGCAAAATGTTTGATATTATGTGGCCGGGTTCGGGGCTCTGACTGCGTCTCTGCCAACGGCACCGCTGAGAAACCAACCCAATCTAACCCAGCTAACCCCTAAATCCGGGCAGAATACGAAATTCAGGTTTCATTTTAGCAAAAAAAAACGAAAGAAAGAAAAGCAAAGCGAAAAAGTAAAGAAAAACTTTTGATTATGCCGTCAAATAAGGGAATATTTACAAGCGCGGTTTGCTAGCTACGCAAACCTAGGGAAGGAGGTGCAGGGGGAGTGCTAACATTAGGGGTACCCACTACCCACTACCCACTACCCACTACCCACTGCCCACTGTGCGCTAAGGTTCGCGCATTGTGGAGAGTGTTAACAGATTAGTTGTTTACATGCCACAAGTAAATGAGTTTTCAAATTGCCGCCATGCAGAGGCGTGCCCGTAACCGTGTCCGTGCCTCAAAACCAGCCCGCGACCCCCGACCCATGGAGCTGCTGTACATATGTATTCGCCATTGACACGACGCCATAGCCATATACATATATATATATATATATAGATAGATATATATAGGGACATGTAACCATATTGCCAGAGGTTGAGCCCAGTGCCATTGCCGTATCCGTGTCCGTATCTCGTTCGGGCCGCATTGCACGAGGCTTTTGTATCTGAAACCGGTGTCGGTGCAGCTGGCAGTTGCCGCTGCTTGGCTCTTGTTAAATCTGAACGATGACTTTTTGAGTAGTTGGTTGAGCATTTAGGATAATTGCATTACGAGAGGCTTCGTGCCAACTACGGCTACTGATTGCGATTGTGTCGCAACAACAACAACAACAACAACAACAACCTTAACACCAACAGCTACAACAACATCTGCTCGCCTGCAGATACATTCACATTAGACACACTCAGATACAAAATCCGTGATAGCGTATACGCATTGCGCCAGCTCCCACAGCACATTTATCAGCTGGCCCTGGACGGACGAACAGGCCTCCTCCTGTGGCTCTGTGCTCTCTCATTATAGTATCTATCATCTATTATATTACGCGCCGCCGCGTTTCGTTATGGCATCGATAAATGTTTCGGGCCATGCAGCTGATAGTCAGATAAGCGCTACGAACTGTTTAGTTAAATTAAAGCCACAGAGAAATACTTTTTTCCAAGAAGCAGAAAGGATCGTGCAGAGGTGTCTATATATTAAACGATACAAGTCTCTATAAGTTATTTTGATGCTTTTGAAATATCTCTCTGGTAATGCAAGCAAAGCAATAATACAACTTTTGGCCATGTAGATCTTAACTTAAGGAAAAAAAGGAGACTTTCTAATTTAATTTCCATCAATTTTAGCAGGTTGTGAATAAGGCTAGAATAAATATGATCTGCTCAAAATAAGATTCTTGATTTACATCAACAAACCAATCGAACTTGGGCCCGTTTGTTCGTCTGATCGTTTGTATGAATAAACCGATCTCAGAGACTATAAGGGCTAGAGACTAGAAGACATATCTTTTTAATATTTAAATATTATTAGCTCAGATAGCTAAGTTCTTGCTTGGTGTAAAGAGTAAAAGGATATATTAATTATTGGATACCTGTTAAGCTTATGAAGCTTGAATTTCAAAATTTAATTTTAAAACTAGAAATACAACTATATATAATTAGTTTTTATATCCTCAAGCCATGTGTTTGTCTTAATGTATGTCACAGGCAGAAGCAAGCAACTCCGACTCTATAAAGTATATATATTCTTGATCAGCATCAATAGCCGAATCGACGTCGCCATGCCCGTCCGTTTGTCCGTCAGTATTTATTATCGCGTCGATCTCAGAACCTATAAGAGCTAGTTGATAGATTAACTCGACTAGGCAATTGATCAATAAGTATTCGGGTTCAAATATAGATGCGGTATTGTCATGGCCGAAAAATATAAGAATAGAAGAAGAAACTGTGATATTTTATATGAATTATTTACATCATATCAACAGTAAGAATTATTCTTATATCAATGTTTTTGTCTGAAGGGGGAAAATTCATTCTGTTTTTCATATTCTGTATATTGTGGTTGTGTGGGGATTGTACCCACTAAAAAGGCGCCTCATCAGGTCTATCTTTACTTCGGAAAAGATTTCGCATTACCTCAAAACGGGTCATTTTTCGCACTTAGAGTTTTCAACCTTTCTCTGCATCCAGACTGTCCCGTTTATGTCCTCTTATAATCATAATAATAATAATTGTTATCATCAAAATATAACAAAAATTAAAAGATAATTATACCATAAGATGTAATATATATGTTAAAATAAATTATTTGATGAAACTTCTTATTTACACACTTTGTATTAAAACTAGAAGTAGATAAATGCATACCCCAAATTTGGATAGCAGTCGAGCACACCTGCAACCACCTCGGATTAGGTTAGATATGAAAGCAATACAGCTACCCAAGACCCATCCAAGCGGTACGAGTCATAATATGCCAGCTGAGTAGAGACTGAGTTCCGCCCTTGAACTTGAAGTTTTGACAAAAAAGCAATCTCAATTCCCTTCCAATTGCCTAACGAAGCATTAATTATTGGTTCTTCTTAGTTGTGACTGATGTGATGTTTATTGTTGCCGGTGTCGCTTGGGGCGCTAATCAAAATATTCAACTGCAAGTTCGTAGCCAAATGTATCTCAAACTGTGTCACTGGCCCAATCAAATCATGCGCCCAGTGGTCCATTAAATGACAAAATGTGCGCTCGCGTGCTTCGATATACCACGGAGAGGGGGGGAGGGGGGCGGGCAACACGCCCACATTTGCAGACACGGGCAACGTACAAAAGGCTAAAATGTAATTAGGCCAAATGTGTGTGCGTGTGCCGTTATGTCTGTGTGAAATCACATTTTGCAAAAACAATTAAAAGGCAATTAAAAGTGTTTTTCATGAGCGCTTCGTTGAGCTTTAATGGCAACGAGGAGGGGTGTGTCTTCTGCTGAGGGGAAGGTTGGCGAGGGGAAGTTTTGCCAACCGCAAAACAGACAAAAGTTAAGCACCCAAAACGCAAAACGAGCCAACGAACCGTTTTAATAAACTGAAAGAATGTTTTATCGTGGCTTTGTTGGCTTTGTTGGCCCGCGGCTAGGAATTCAACTTTTGGCCAGAATATCCAGCCAGAAAAGGACTCCCCACATATGCTGTCTGCGGACAGCGCAGCAGAGAGCAGAGAGCAGAGCCTTAAAGCTTTGCAAAAGGGTATTTTCAAATTGGCGACAACTCCGGCCAGATAAAATATATAGTACATATATTCTTGATCACTTTATATTTCTATGCAAATTAGTTTTTCAGTTTTGAAGCAGATTTAATGAGACAGGGCTTAGATTTGTTGGCCAACATAGGAGATGTATTAAGTACGGGTCCAAAACGAAGTCTTTTTTTATGTAAAACGTTTATGTTCTGTGAGATATCTTTACCAACGAGATCAATAAGAGACTTTTAGAAGTTTTAAAGAGATTCTAGTTGACACATTTTCTACTTGATTAAAGCATTAATACATGGGAACTAAACGTAAACAAAAGAATTTCTTAAATTATACTTTTTTATTCTGATTTTGTAAGTCAAACTTAATAATAGCGGATTTTCCTATGTTCTCAAGATATATAATAATAAATAAATAAATAAATCAATCAAAAATGAAGTATAAAACCAAAATGAAAGCTCTCTCTTAGAACTCTAAGGCCTCGCAAAAGCTCAGGGAAAATTCTTTGGGAAAAATGTCATAGATTAATTTTTCCCACTTGCATCGATCACCTTCAAAAACTCTTAACTCAATA